ATACGCCGTGTTTTCATGCATGTTCTGTTCTATACGTTTCTTGTTGACCCTTAACTTAATTTAGTTTTCCCTCCATGTTCAGGATCATACCCGAGTCTGCACATTCTGCATATGATAAGGCTGCTCAATATTTTAATATCAAGTTGTGGCGTGTCCCTGTAGATACGGAATTCAAAGCTGATGTCAAAGCTATTAGAAAATTTATCAACAGGAACACTATCTTGGTATCCGTATACTCTTATTCTCTTCTTATACTTGTATTTACATAAACTCTCTTTCTCTATCATCTTTTTCGCATTTTTATCCACAATTTTGTTTATGCTGCCCCATTTTTGTTGGATTTTTTTTTTCAAAATCCATTATCAAGAACTAGAAGTATGATACTGTTGCTTTTGCTTACCAGAAAAGCTGCTTCACCCTATTATAGTATTTGTATTTGTATGTTACCTGCTCATTTGTGTCTTTTCCCTTATGCTCTTCATATTGCAGATTGTTGGATCTGCACCTGGTTTTCCACATGGAATCATTGATCCGATTGTTGTATGTTCATTTTCTCTTGTATCTTTTAGTTGTTTTCTATAGGCCAGGACAAAGACCATCAATCGTAACTTAAATGGCATTTCTCAAGTAATTTCTGATCAGGAGGATCTTGTAATATATTTGCAGGAACTTGGGAAATTAGCTTCTAGCTCTGGTATTTGTCTTCATGTTGACTTTTGTCTTGGCGGGTTTGTGTTACCGTTTGCGTGCAAGCTTGGGTAAGGCTGTTTGGGCTTTCTCTGAACAAAAAATTTACCACTATTAACATTCTTAATGTAACACAATACTCTAACAGGAATGCTTTTGCAAAACATTTGTAAATTATGAAATGATTTTTCACTAACCTCTCTCTCTATGATATCCTATGAAAGAATATAACAATATATCTCCCCTTCCCACCCATATGTGTCTGATTATATTTTCTATATCTCCCCTTCCCACCCATATGTGTGATTATATTTTCTAGTTCAGCACACCAAACTTGCAGTGATTAGTTATCAAGTGGAAATTACATTTAGCGACGAGTGTTGCAATTATTATTCATTATCGGTGTTTCTCTGGCTATCTGTGATATGAAATTGTCTTATTACTCCTCTCAGGTACCCAATTCCACCCTGTGATTTTTCAGTTAAAGGAGTGACATCAATATCTGCGGATGTACATAAATATGGATTAGCCCCCAAAGGAACAAGTGTAGTGTTGTACAGAAATCATGAGATTAGAAAGGTAGTTTCTTTTACCAAATCACTTAAATTTCATTTGATTAGCCCCAAACTAACCTCCCAATGGCCTCCTATATCTTGTCTGCTGAAGTGGTTGATTGCTTAATGCTTATATGATCATCTTTTTTTCGTTCTTATAGTAAATGTGGTATGTAAACTAGAGAATGTTTCCAGATGCTTTGAAGTTAAATAGCTAAGAACTAGATATTAGAACAAACGACTCTCAAAACGTTAAAAGGTTAATGGATGTAATCGAGCTGCATTCTGAATCCCTATCTTTTCTATCATTGAAAATATATTTTATGTTATTTCTGATTTCATTTGGCTTTATGGTTGTTGATCGGTTGGTGTTCTGCCTGTTCCTGCTTTGCTTGCCTTCGACAGCATCAATTTGTTGCTGGTAAGTCTACTTATCCTTGTTACTGGAAAGTTGGATTTTTTCATGCCTCGAGTTTAAATCAAGCTATTAATCATTACTAATAGCTATTGGGTTCCATGATTGTCATCAATGTTTAGTTTTATTTTGGGATATATTTATGAAATTGTGAGAAATAAAATATGTTTTCTTTGCCACGTTTCATTAGTGGAAACCTTCATGGAAACTTTTAAAGACTTAGGCTAATGCAATTGTATACTTATCCCTTGTATGGAGCACAGTCGTACTGAAAAAAATGCTCTCATTCTTATTTTTGTTGTGGTGTTGAATTCAAGGAAATGACATTTCCCTTTTCAATTATTGTCTTTTGTAGTAAGTGAATGGTCTGGTGGGCTTTACGTCTCTCCAACAATAGCTGGAAGCAGACCTGGTGGTTTGATTGCTGGGGCTTGGGCAGCAATGATGTCTTTGGGAGAAGAAGGTATCCAAGACATGAATGTAACGATACTCATTGTTATCCTCATATTTTGTTATGTACTTGGCTTTGTCTCTTTGTGATTCGATTTCTTTCCATAGGATATTTGCAGAACACAAAAGAGATCATGGAAGTGTCAAAGAAGATACATAAAGGGTATCATATTCATCTGTTTAGCCTGGAAGGATTGCAAGGTGTTTTTCTCTTTCAAAAACCTTACTTTTTGTGCAGGGTAAACGAAATTCCTGAGTTATTTGTCGTCGGAAAGCCAGACATGACAATTGTAGCATTTGGGTCTACTGTTATTGACATTTTTGAAGTCAATGACATTATGTCATCGAAAGGCTGGCATTTGAATGCTTTGCAAAGACCTAGCAGGTGAGCTTTCTCATTCAGCTTTTATTTATACATATATAAGAAACCAAGAACGAGGTTCCAATCCAATAAAATAAGACCTAACAAATAATTACAAAATAACTTCTTCGCCAAAGAGAAATTTTGGAGTCTAGAGAGGGACCAAATGTCGCAAGGGCCCTCTCAACACCCTAAAGATTCTTTTGTTTCTCTCCCACAAAAACCTCCCTTCTCCCATTGTAACGAGATAACCATACTAGAAGGTGCGGTTGGATCACCTCCTTTTCAGGGAGAGCTAATAGTTGTTGGATATTTTTGTTTGACACAACTTCACACCCAAAATGAAGGGAGCTACGTCTGAGTTAAACTTGAAGATAGAAGTCTTCTTTCGTTTCTAGACGGAATAAGGATGGGCATAAAGGATATAATATTTGAATTACATCTAAAATGTTAAATATTCTTTTTTTACCCCTTCAAAATTCTACTATTTTTAGTCTTGGACTCAAAATGCGGTATTTATGCCAAGTTGAGTGTAGTTGAATGGTTAAGGTTTCTATCTCTCTCTTCAGAGGTCGTAAGTTCGAAGCTTCACTCCTTGTTTGTGATATGATATTCTAAAATAAAATGTGGCCTCAGGTCTGACTGTTTGTGTCCATGGTACATACCTACCGGGGAATATTGAATTAGACTGTACTTGAAAGTTTTGAAGCCTTTGAAATAATTTAACTAACCAGAACTCAAATTAGTCGTTCAGCCCGGATTATCCTTGTCCCCCCTTAAGCTGTACACATGTTTTAGGTATGAAACTCAAAAGCTTTGAGTGGTTAAAAGAAAGTTTGATGGCTTTGATTCATTGAAACAAAATTTTAAAGTTCACTCCAAAATTTTAATGTTCTCAAAGACTAATCATCTCTCATATTGATTCAGCATTCATATCTGTGTGACGCTTCAACATGTATCGATAGTCGACGACTTCCTCCAGGATTTGCAAGAATCTGTCAACACTGTAAGCTTATTTCTGCAAGAACGTTCTTAGTCCATCAGAGGCAATTTCACTAATATGCATATTTTCTGGTTGTGACTTATGGGCTTATTTATATGTAATTATATATTTCAGGTCAAACAAAATCCAGGGCCTATTACTGGAGGATTAGCACCAATATATGGTGCTGCAGAGAGAATGCCAGACAGAGACATGGTTCAGGATTTGCTCATAAGCTACATGGATGGTACATGCTAGCAGGCAGTGTGCAGGCCTCATTTGCTCGCACTGGTTTGTTAAAATATAAAATTTGATTTTATACTGTCTCATTCACAAAAAATCAAATTAAAATTATGAAAATAATAAGCTATATTCTTCAAGGTTTACCACATGATAATGTTTGTTGTTGCTGTTAAGTGTAATGTGTTGAATTATATCATATTTTTATTGTCTTATAAACATTTATTTGAAACCTTCATATGTATGCTCAAATTTGAGATAAGGGACTTTTGGAAGGATCTCTAGCTCTCAACTTTATATATATATTTTGTTTTAACTTTATAAAGTTCAAATGGGTGGGTGGATAAGACACTTGTTATCACTTTTGATAGTCGATTCTTGATTTTTTTTGAAGTAGTTTGCATATATCTCGACTAATCTAATGAGACCTTATCTTACTAAACTTAGTTGCAAAGGTAACTTGTAGTATATAAAGTCTTTAGATTGATGACCACTGTGTTGTGAATTCATTCTCTAAGTCCTTTATTATTTACCTAACTTTCGTTGATAATAACTCAAGATATCATAATTCATGGTGATTTTTGAGAACGGGTGATTTTGAAAAGATAATGATAGGTAAATTATGCAACTATGGTGATAACTTAAAGTTAGTATTTTAAAACAGTTTTTATTGATTTTAATTAAATTTAGTTAAACAATAATAATTTTTTTTTACAAGAAAAGTCATTCCATTGTTTCAAATTTTATAAATTATAAGATCTATTTAAAAATTGTAAAACATAATAATTAATTCAATAATATTTCGCAATTAAAAAATTCAAAATTTAATATTATAACATATTTTTCGTACACTTAAAAAAAATATTAAATAATATTAATAATAATAAATATATATATGCACTCGGATCCCCATCTTCAAAATATCTTCAAAATAACGATCTTAGAAATGCTTAGCTGTCACTGTTACTATAGTAATGTGGCGAAACTATTCAATCGATCGATGGTTGAGCCAAGAAGCGTACAGGAAAAATCATATGGTATCCAGAACAATCGTTTGCTCGGAAGACGATAACTGGTGGTCATGGACTGAATAGCTTGTTCATTCATCTTACTAGACAACCTGCAAAACTCGAATGCAGTAATGCCGAAGTTTGGCCGCCCTCTGTTAGAAGATTCTTTTATTTTCAGTCCATGGTTTGATTCCTGCAAAAGAAGAGCAAGGAAATCACGCCTTTACTCGATTCTAGTTTTTCATAATGCTGATCGATATGTTTTTTTTTTTTTTTTTTTTTTTTTTTTTTTTTTTTTTTTTTTTTTTTTTTTTCTATTACTGACTTTCTTTCTAGGCACCGGCAGTTTTCTGATTATAGTTCATCTCTAAAGCGTATTCATCTTTGAAGCTAGGTTTGGTAACCAAGACTGAATATCCTTTTTAGGTTTCTTAAGTTTTATTTATGTTCTAGATGTTTTAGACATTCTATTTTAACAAACTGGTACGTTTGTTTATGTTCTGTGAGATTTTGGAACTGTGTTAGAGAGATAGTGAGATTGTTGGTGTATTCTCGCTTGGTTGCAAATCCTCCTGGATACCTTTGTTGACTTAGGAATTAGAATTGGAAAATTAAATAATTTAATTGTTGCTATAGATGCATTACATTTTGATGTAGGCAATTTCATTTTCTCATATTTTGGTTCATAGATTTGTTGTTCGTTCCATCAAAAGAGGTTTATTAGGCCTTGAATTCATATCAGTTGCCAGTGTAGTTTTCTGTTTTTCCATCAGGCGAACCTGTTTGGGCTATTCCTATTGGTGATCACAACTGAGTCATTGATCCCATGAAGTACTACTAGAAGGATATTCAAAGTAAGAGAAACTTCCATGGTATTTCTAGGCAGGCTCTTGTTTGAACAAATTTCAAATGGTATGAGAGTGAAATATTTTATCTAAGTTAATATGCTCGTTGGAATATTATTTCTGTCATGGTACTTTTATGTTTATTTTGTTTTAGTCCATAAGCTTTCAAAGATTACTTTAGCCCCTTAAACTTTATACAAAAATTTCAATCATCAATGAAATAGTCTCTTATAAAGAAAAAAAAAAAAATCTTTATACAAAAGTTATCGGAGTCCTTTCTGTTCATTTTCTTTTTTATTACACTTTTAATTTAATAGAAGATTTTGGTCCATTCTTCTCCTTTTTGTCCATGCTTATCCTAGGATTCTTATCATTATAAAAATTTGCAGAATGACGATTTACGATGGTTTCGTGGGCTATGGTAAATCTAAATGTCCGAAAAGTTTCTTTTCAGAACTACCGGTGCTCTTTTTCATGTCAGGTAAATAGAGTTGGAAAACTGTCCATATTTTAGTTTAGCCTAAGAGGGCTGTCAAAGGTGAAAGAAAAAGAAAACAAGAATAATCAACTGCGAGTAGAACATGCTTTTTTGTGGAATATGCAAGACAATATAATCATAAAGTGTTCTAGGGATAACAATACATTTCACACACAACATACAAAGTGACATTTGAAGAGGGAGATCCTCTGCTTATTTTCACACCCAAACACTGTTCAGATAGTAGTAACTTGCACTCTATCAGCAATAATTACCAATAATGGGTAGACAGTACTGCAACGCACTCGGATACTGATGAACAAGGAATATACTTCTTCTACCTCTCAAAGCTCCAGCACAAGATCTACGATGAACACAATAAAAGTGAATTAGAGTTGCTTCAAGAGTCAGTGTCGTCACACTTGTCTCTCGTGTAATTGGTTAAATAATGTAGCGAGCAGTCGATGGTATAGCAGATATACAGAAAAGGATTAGCTACAATCCATCCTGTGTTTTGTGGAAGGTGAGCATAAATACTAAGCCAAGACTACAGTGAGTTGGTTTGAGTTTTATAATTTAAGAGTTAACTTGTAGGTGGTGGGTGTCGATATTAGTGTTTATGGCAACTAATAGGATATCTAGGTGAATGTTGGGAGCTAGGTAATATTGAGTTTAGTAACTTACAGTCTTCATCTGAATTAATCCAGCGTTCCTTGTTGTCATTTGGATCAGAACTGTGTAGTTCATGTGGTGGAAATTGATTCTTGATACGTCGAAAGCTTGGTTTTGACAGTGTTCTCTGAGGATATATCATGATATCCTCATCAGATGTCTGCTCTCCATTGTTGTAGCAACCATCATGGTTATGGTTTGGTTTCTTCTTTATTTGAAACTTTTGGTGCTTATCGGTCTTTTGTATGATTGTTGAGCATTCAGGGTGAACTTTTCTGTGGAACATGTGAAAGATCTGCAAGCCACATGTCATATGTTGAAGAAATTTAACTATTACAGACAGATAGGAAAATAGTAAAAGTCCAATTGCGGTCAGTAGTTTTCTATGGTAAAAATAGGTTCTGAAGCCTCTCACTTGAACTATCTCCTAGTTCAAAAATTTATAATGACAGAGCTGGAAAAGTAATAATCAGGTGAGGCCAGACAGCAAGGGTTAAGTTCAAATCATAGCTTATGACATACCTTATGCAGTTTCGTTTCTGCTGAAGCTGAATCATTGAGTCCTTCAACAGCTGCTGCAGAGCTCCTGGAAGAAGCAGACAACATTCTTTTCTTCAGTTTCTTTTTCATCAGGTGCACGGAAGATTTATCGATATCCTCTTCAGCTCGCTTGTCTTCCTTGTCAGATTTTGCACCTACATTCTCCTCAGCTATTTTGCTTCTCTGAAACAGTTCACCTAGGGAGGTCCTGTTTTCCTTTTTAGCCACTGCCGTAGTCTCTGATAATTCAATTGCTGACCCAAAAAGATATCCCTGAAGTGGGCAGATTATGCTCCCACTTATATTGCTTTCTAGGCCATCCATTGGCTTGCCACTGAGGGTAATTGTGCTACCATGGCTACTCCTTCCCATGCTGACGTGACTGTTTCTTCCAGAAGAATCATTGTACCCGTCGTCCTTAGTTTCAGCTCCTAGAACCTTTTCCAACTCATCATTAATAAACTTTAGTTCATTTTCAGTTACTTCAGTTTCGTTTTCAGTTATATTCTCAACAGAAATTGAAAACTTTGGTGTCATTGGGTCACTCATGACCTGATCAGATCCCAGAGTTCCAATTGCCAGAAATCCATGGAAGATCTCAGACATTGAATGGGATGATTCATCTTCATAGTCTTCATCTCCTATTTCTGATTCTAGACCAGCAAAAGATTTTAGAAGATGCTGCTCTCGTGGGGCTTGCTTGAATGGTTTAATGCTTGACTTCGAGATGTATTGCTGATCATCAAGCGATTGTTGGCCTAAAAAAACAATTATGAGAATGACCTACACAAGTACATTTGAATTTCTAGGAACCTTGTTTCTGTTGCAGCATATCAACAATAATTTCATGGTTTATCTGTAATTCCTGGTTATAACTCAATGTTTTCTATTAAATGGAATAGATGGGTTAAAGAGATATAATTTTCAGATTACATGCATACAAAACTTGGATGTGTTCCATGCCCTGGGCATCGAATATCAGTCACTACAGATTTGATGCACAAAGTGAGCTTCTAATGACAATGGATGTTCAACCTCACAGAGAAATACTAGTGGAAAGTATTTACCGATGGCAAAATCTTTGAGCGGTTCACCACTGTTCTGCCGAAATTTGCGGTGCATCCAACCAAGTAGCTGTGAGAAAAAATCAAAATATCATTTAGTCGTTAGACAGAAACACTCTACAAGAATTAATGCAGAGTTAACTTTGCCTTCATCTTTCTGGTTGTGCTTCAGAAAACTGAGTTTTGTTGCCTTCAGTTTAGAGGGGTGATGAGAAAAAGTGTTTTCCATAGTTTAGCTCTCTGCTTATTTATCAATAGAATGTCAAACTCTTACTGCACACCTCCAATAGTCTGAGATGATGTGCGTAAAGGAAACATGGGGATAGTTACAAAAGAACTGGCTGGCTTGTGCTATCCATTCAAGTGGCTAAATGGATGGTGGGTCCTGGAGCACCCTTCCGGAAGCTGTTCATTTTATCTGAGGAATGTGACTAGTTTTGATTTTTTGGTACTTTGAGTGGTGGTATCGACTAACTCCAAACCTGAGATAGCATTTTCCATTCTTCAAATAATTATATTGTTACTGTTTGAAGATGTTTACTCTTTTAATTATATTTAATCAGTTTTAAGTACCTTAATTTATTCATGTTTTGTATATAGTTGTGCTTTCTACACAAACATGTTTTGCACATGCCTCCATGGGAAAATGATAGCTTCCATTCTTATAATTGTAACAATTTTACTATAATTTGGTGGGCAGAGCCCTAAATGACTGGTGGGGTCTTTGGAGAATATTGTGTTGGACCAAAATAGGTGCAAAGATTGACAACGAAGTGGATCATTTCTAATCAGGGGCAAAACTGTATTATCTGACCTGGAAAGGTAGAAGATTAATTGGAAATTTGAAAGGACTCTTCAATATCTTATTTCCATGTATGATCCTATTAAATCTACATGTTGGATCATGCATTTGGTTGGGATCTTTGGAGGAAAGGAATTTTAATAGTAGATGACCTTTTGGTCTCCCTGACACCATTCTTTTATCATGTTTGTAAGCAGAACAATCTCAGATGAGATCAGATATAACACAAAGGTTAGATTGCGCTTCTGATCTTTATCCCTAACAATGGCCATGATTCAAGCATTGCTGTTGGTAACCTCAATTTCCATGATTCTAGCATTGCTGTTGGTAACCTCAATTTGTGTTACAATTTTATGAGAGAATTTTAACTTATAATGTCTGATATATGTGCTTGTTTCCCTGCAAAAGAAAAAGGTAATAACTCGTCTTTTGGGCTTCATAATATGATCACTTGCGTCATTTCAGAATATTTTTTGGAAACAAAATATAAAGGAAAGAAGTATGCCTGGGTCCCATGTGTTTCTAAATTCAACCTTTTACAACTCCTTGTTTCTGAAACATGCTACTATAGGACAGAAAACTTACCCTTCTGGATATTGGCTAGCTCTTGTTTGTTATTCATATTTATTGTTTACTTTCAGTAGTATCCTTTGCTTAAAGACACGGTTTCTGGGCGAGACAGGGTAAGAAGGAAGAGACGGAAGAAGGTGATGCACTCTGACATTGGTTGTGAAGTCAACAGAAGCAAACATAAATTCTTCTATTTTTTTATCCTTCGACTGTTACAATAATTTGTGAATGTCCTGAGTCTCTGTGAGTTGTCAGAATTTGTAAAAAGGTCCTCTACTGAGCTTTTTTTTTTTAACCTTCCTAGGAAAGAAATTGATATGATGTCAGTTCTGTCACCATATTTCTGAAACCTTCTTAAGTCATTTCCTTGAGCATGAAAAAGATCTCCTTTGCCTCAACCATGTCGTGGCTATGCTCCCAATATTAACTGCTTGTTTCTATTTTGTCAGTGGGAGTTCAAAAGAGATGAATAATATTACTTTGCTTTATGTGCTTTATAATTTCAGGTGAAAGATTTAGGAAGAAAGGCTTCTGATTTTATTAAGGTGGGACTACGATGTACAGCACCATGCGGGGGGAAAAAACTTTTTCTTACCTCCACGAGCAAGTCATGATTTTATGTCAAATCTGCCTAAATATCGAACTGATAAGTTGGCCTCCTCTATTTGTTTTTTGTTTTTAACCTGGTAGATTGATATTTCAATCTTAAGTTGATTAGATTTGCATTAGATCTGGTGACATAGTGGGAAAGATGCAAGGGGGGGCCATGCTCCATGAACTTGCAAACTTGTTGGCATGAGGGTAGGTTTTTACCTGTGATACAAAAGCTTGTCAAATCCAACTAAAATGATTGGTATATCCACCGGTCGATGTTCAGACATGTTCATACTAACCCTTTTCACTAAATACACTGTATGGAGAGATTCTATAATCAGCGGTACAACGAATCAAACCTGATGAAAACCTTCTGTCTTCTGGTATGTTTCTATCAAACGTTTCTAAGTTTTCTATTCCTGCTGTTAAAAAAAAACATACCTGGAAAACTTGCTTCTGGATTTGGTAGTTGTTAAAATAGTAAAAAAGGAGTCAAATTCTTCTGCCTTTTTGTCAAAGTAAATCATCCTCGGTAAAATTACATTTTCAAAAAGGAGTGAAACTATAGATAAATTATCATATAAACTTTCTGTTATTCTTTATCATCGTTAGAGACATGGTTTTACAAGAATAAATTAAAACTAAAGAAATGAAGGCCAAAAATGTAATTTATTCACAATCACAATCTTTGACAGATTGGTAGATCATATGATGCAAATGCAAAAAGTGAGCATTTTTTTTATCAGATTCTAGGACCTGCTTAAATTTTGTGCTGACTTTTGTTTTTAGGAACCAAACATGAAACTAAAATCCGAAAGTCTTGTCAGTGACATGAGGGAAAACAATTCTGTTGTAGACAGACTGTGCCACATATTTATCCTTCTCTTGACCTTTTCCTTTTGACCAACATCCCAAACGACCTATATATGCACTGAACATGTGTTATGAATCTCTTTGTCTAAATGCAGCAGCCCTCATTCATTATGATTTGTACATGTGAAAGCAAAGCAAGTAGCCCTCCTTCATTGTGATCTGATTATGCAATGAACATTAATATGTTTGTCTAAATGATTTTTAACTTTCATTTCTGGATTGAACCCTACTTTTAAAGCAGAGAGATCAGTTTTTCTCTTGCCTTTGAACTCTTCTTTCCTGTTGATGTGAGGCTGGTTTTACAGGCTGATTGATTATCATTGAAGAACATTGCTGCCTGTGTTGTTTGGACAGTGGATAGAGATTGAGACCTTAGACTCACTTTGAACCTTTCTGTACCATGATTTCAGTCTATTTTGAGGCCCCTGTATGTCTTGAGCTCACCAAGACACAATTTTAGTACTTTAGCAATAGCTTGAAATCATTGTATTGAGCTAATATTCAGTTACATTACCAACTTGTGAAATATTGTAGGCTCTACGAAACTAAATTGTTAGTTGAATGTTGATATGCAATGATATTGATGATAGTATTATAACTTCCTTGGGGTGAGGGTGACCCTAGTGGTTAGGACTTCAGATGTCTGGAGATACCTTTGACTTATTCTTAAAGGAAAAAGTACGGCCGCAACATATGTACCCGGCAACAAAATTGGAAAATATTTTTTGACCGAAGCTCTCATATATGTTAGTTTGAGCTAAAATCTACCAAGCAACGATGTGGTAAGTTGATCAACGTCACATAAAACTCCAAAAATGACATTCTTTGATCGATGAAAATCGATATGTCAAACTTCTACCTGGTTTGAACCCAAAATCGGTGTCAGTATCAATGAAGTTAAAAGAAATTAAAAACAAGACGAAAATTATTGAACTAATGATAAAAATGTTGACGACTATTCTTAATTCATACGTTTCACCCTCTTCTTCAAGTATAACAAGTGCATATTTGTAGGATTGAACTCGATTCTAGTTCTTAACTTGTTCATCTTCTTGGCTTGGTACTAGTTCTTAACTTGTTGATCTTATTGGTTCAATAATTGGCTTGTTGATTTTATTCAATTGATCTTATTCAGCTTGTTGATTGCTCTTGTATTGATCTCGGTTTCTTGATCTTCTTGAGAAATTGATCAAAATCTTGAATTCTTACGCACTTAATAGTGTTTAAGATCATGTCTTCAACGTTGTTGTGTTTTCAAATTCTTTGGTCTTCACGTTCTTAATTTTCTTGGAGTCTTCTGAATTCTCTAATTTCTCAATCTTCTTGGACTATTCATTGAGCCTTTCTATGGGCATTGTATGCGTTTGGACTGCTTTGGGTTTTGGGCCAAATCGTCGTTTAATGACCTAACTTTTTACGACTGTTGGTGACCGTAAAATTCTAAGAAATTGGTAGAAAGCATGAGTTTTCTCTTCTAAAATTTTGTCATTTCGAGCAATATAATGCCATGTAAGGATTCATTATCCTACCAACAGGGATATGAAGATCTTCTGGAAGGGTGGAAGAAGCTTGAAGAAGAAGAAGAAATCTCGGTAAGCTTATCAAAACCTCCTGCTGTGGGATTTTCGATTCTGAAGTTTTTACTAATGCTGAAGTGACTTCAGTTCTTTATGAATTCAATCTGGGAAAATACTTCCACCAAACCTTGTTTTAAGTCTGAATTTTGATTATTCTTCAAAAGAGACGCAAATGCTCTTCCCTTAGGTCATACTTACATCGATGTTCTTGGGCATTCTGTGATATGAATGAAATATTGTGAGACCATGAGAAAAATTGGCAGAGGGCCTAGAGAACCTAGCTTGATCTCTAAGTTTAGAGATGTGAGATTCCACTGGATAACTCTCCCTAGCAGACGCGTTTTAAACCTTGAGGGAAAATTCGAAAGGGAAAGTTCAAAGAAGACAATATCTGCTAGCGGTGGGCTTGGGGCGTTACAAGAGATGTTCTAGATGATGGTAATCTATAGGAAATGAAGCTCCAAAAGAGGATTGGTTGAAATGGGGGTGATAGCAATAGAAGGCCACTGGGAGGAAGAAAGAGAATAGTACTGAAGCCATTTTTTATGCCTTGGGAGTATGGCAAGAGGAAGTTACAAAAATTTCCCTGACTTTTGTGGATTATTTTAAAAATATTTTTGCTTCAAATGCTCCTTTGCAGATTGATGTGAACAGGGTCATTGATTGCATTTCTTCAAGGGTTACTTCAGAAATGATATCAAGAGGAGGTGGAAATAGCAAAAAACAATGGATTCTCAACTTTGTTCTACCAAATACTTTGAAGAATTGCCTTGAAACAAGACTGGTATTGTGTTGATCCCAAGGTATCAAAATTCAGTAAGTGGTTTTCGCTCAATAAGTTCATATGCTATGTGGTGTATAAGATGGTTACAAAAGTTATATCTAATTAGGTGATGAAAAATCTGGACTAAATTCTCTCTTCTTCTTTGTTAGCTTTCATTCAAGGTCGTTCAATTTTTTATGGTCTGATTACTGCTCATGAATGCTTACATTTTGTGAAAAAAAAGAAAGCTTGAGTTCATTTGATTTTTTTAATGTTATAGCTAATAGCTAATCTCACTCCACTGTTCCCAAACTAGCAAGAAGCACTCAGAGGATGTCGAATCATTCAGTGAGGAGTTAGATTTTGCTCTTTCATTCGAACCCAGGAGCATCCAAAGCAAAAGCTCTTCTTTACCCCTAATCTTAAGAATTCGAAACTTAAGCCAAATTTGAAGGAGATATTAGTGAGGTTTTTGAATCAATGATCCTCTTTGGCACTTGTTCCCCTATCTTTGTCTGGCCTCATTACAAAGTTCAGGCAGGCAGGTTCAGCTTCAGGCCTAACCATTTCTTGGAGGGTCCTGACACAACCACTGTAACAGCCTAAGTTCATCGCTAGCAGATATTGTCCTCTTTGGGCTTTCCCTTAAAAGCTTTAAAACGTGTTTGCTAAGGATAGGTTTCCACACCCTTATAAAGAGTGTTTCATTTTCCTCTCCAACCAATGTGGGATATAACAATTCACCCCTTCAGGGCTCAGCATCCTCGCTGGCACTCGTTCCTTTCTTCAATCGATGTGGGACCCCACCAAATCCACCCCCTTCGGGGCTCAGCGTCCTTATTGGCACACCGCCTCGTGTCTACCTTCTTTGGAGAACAACCTCCTCGCTGGCACATCACCCAGTATCTAGCTCTAATACCACTTGTAATAGCTCAAGCCCACCGCTAGCAAATATTGCCCTCTTTGGACTTTCCCTTTCGGGCTTCCCCTCAAGGCTTTAAAACGCATCTGCTAGGGGAAGGTTTCCACACCCTTGTAAATGATGTTTCATTCTCCTCCCAATCAATATGGGATATCACAACCACATTTGTTGGTTTCTCCGATCTTTTCCATGTTCCTTCTAGTGCTAATAGTTTGTATTTTTTGAAGGATTTTATGTAGGGAAGCTCTGATGAGATGGCGGCAGATCCCATCCATAATAACACCTTCATTGCAATGGGATGCTCACAAACCAACTCAGATTCTGAATAAGGAAGATGTTGAGATCATAATGTCTTATAACTCCTATTGTATTTGGCATTTTGATAAGCAGGTGACCTAGTGTTAGCTGATATTCAAGTCCTTCCAGTTATAGCAATGGTGACAGAAAGTTTGGAAAACAAAATCCCCACAAAACTCATCTTTTTGTTTGGCAATGTTTCTTTGTTTGTTTGGCTTCGAAGTCGTAGAACTTGTACTGTAACTTTCTTTAGTTACAGTACGAGCGCCTTTGAATACGAGCGCCTTTGAATTAACTTAAAGGTTAGGCACTTTGTGGATACAGGAGAAGGATACTTTCCTGTTATATTAATGGTTTCTGTTGAAAAAGAAGGAATAGTTGGTTCATGCTTTGTTCCTTGAAAGGGAGGAAAACAAATATGAAGGAATATTCTACTATCTGTTCATCGTACGGATGAAACTAAAATGTGAATGAATTTTAAATTTGGAGTTTTATAAAAGCCCTTCCTTTACCAACAAGCACCAAGCACCACCTTCTCGTTGCCAAAGAGGGAAGAATCAAAGATTTTGTAGGTCGATACATCCTTTCGGAGTTTCGAGAGATCCACTTCGAAAGGAGCAGAGAATTTCCTAGTTTATATAAGAAATGGGGAGGAAGCCGAGAGAGACTTCGAAGCCTTTCTCGAGGCTGTGAAAGGATGAAAACCTTATTATTAAAGTCTCAACCTCGAGTTCTCCTAACTTTAACTTTTTTTTTTCCACTTTTCAATAAATTTATTAATGGTTAATTTTAATTTTTTTATTCAAATCAAAAAGCATCTTAAAAATTTAATAATATTTTATAAATTGACATAATTTCTCAGACAAATCTTTCATCATTTCTCTCATCCAACAATAAAATTGAATATTTCTAATAATTGAAATAATATGAATGAGTTATTAGTTTCGATTAATTAAAATAATAATAAAAATCGATAAGAAAAGAAATGTAAGAACAGATGGCCATATCGTGACCGTACACCCGAAGCCGAATAGGGGAAATGGACGGTGGGGAAGCTGTCTCCCAATATTCGAGGGAACGTCATAAAAGAAACCCAAAAAAAAAGAAAAAAAAAGGAAAAAGCGCATGGGTGGTCTTTATGATCCGCAGCCACTAGTTTTCCGCCACTTGTCAAAATCCAATGCAACGGCCTTTCTCTATTACCTTCTTCACTTGTTTGCAGCCTCAAAAATAAAAACTCATTTGATTTATTATTTATTATTTATTTTTTAATGGAACCAAAATCCAGAAGAAATTATAGTGGCTGAGATTGCTCCGACGCCCCCCCCCCCCCCCCCCCCCCCCCCCCCCCCCCCCCCCCCCCCCCCCCCCCCCCCCCCCC